TTGGCCTCCTCCGCACGGCTGGGCGCTCGGGTCGGCACAAACTAACCCCCGGCCGTCCGTCGCGCCACGCCACGCCACGCCACGCCCTGCGGCGCTGACTATGGCCGTGGCTCCCTCCCCCAATCACGTGTTTGCCCGCCCGCGGGCACACGCAGGCATACGCCTTACCTCGTACCCGCACTGCAAAAATATTTACCGCTCCACGCACGGATCACATCGTGAAAATTTCGCCTGCTGACGTGGCAGCACTGCGTGGGAACGGGTTGCCGCTGTGATTGAATCTCGGTCGCCGATACCCCTCGCTCGGGGTGGCTGTGGGTGCGTCGCTACCCCGCGCTAACGACCGGGCCGGCTCTGCGGCGCGTGCAAGCCAGTCGCCTTGGCTGCCGCGGCTCCGGAAGCGCGTGCAGCTCTAATGGTTCCCGGAGAGTATCAACAATTTCCGGTGCGGAGGTGCGCCGTCGTACCGGAGCCGCCATGCTCGCCGTCACGGGGTGGTGGCGTTTGCTGACCGATGCCGAATGGGTCGCTCTGTCTCTGTCGCACTCAGGCGGCATGCCGCAAGGGTCTTCTGGCCCACTGTGGGCCGGCGCGTCCAGCCGAACGCGGCGCTCGCGGCGGGCGGCCGAAAAGATTATTGGGGAGGGTGGCGGCCGCTGCGGGGCTGCCTCATCCGCACGGTGCTCTGTCTCTCTCCCACACCAGCGGAGCGGCCCGCGAGAGCGAGAGAGACGGAGCGCTTCGGGCCGCTGGGAGGGCCACTCGAATTTCGGCGTAATCACCAACGAGGGGAGGCGGCAATCGGGGCGCGGCAAGGGTTGTCGCGTGGCGGTCGGCACATTGTATTTACGACATGTTGTGGCGCGCCGGGACTTCATCAAGCGCCGGCCAGACGGGATGAAAAATTCAGTCAAGAAAGACGAAACCGACGTTTGTGACCGAGTGGTTGCCTACGGGACGCCGTTGCTTTTTTGTCGGTGTACTTTACCCCATCCCGAGCAGAGCCTGCCTCACCGTCTGCGAGGGCGGAGCTGGCGGCGCTGGCGGAGTCGCGGGAGAAGCCCCGCGCGGAATCTGAAAATAATGACGAGCGCTCTGGAGCCGTGCTGGAGCCGTGCTGGAGCCTCGCTGGAGAGACGCTGGGAAGACGCTGCCAGAGAGACACCGCTGGAGACTGCTTGAGAGACACTTAGAAGACGCCGCAAGAGAGACGCCATTAGAGAGACGCCGCTAGAGAGACGCTGCTAGAGAGGCGCCGCTTGAGAGACGCTGCTACAGAGATGCCGCTAGAAAGACGCTCCTAGAGAGACGTGATAAGAGAGACGCCGCTAGAGAGACGCTGGAACAACCCCAGCCATGTCGACGCGCTCCCCTCGGTATCAATCCCCAACCCCAAAGCCTCCGGGCACTCCCACCGAGCGATGCGCCGACGGAGTCGTTTCGTCGCCGCGTCTCTGTCGCACCCCTTCGCCACGCCCCGCGAGAGCAACAGAGACAGAGCGACGGCCCCAGACCTGCACCACGCTGCGACTCTTGCCCCTGGCCAAGACGACGTCGACTTTATTTGCCGGAATTTAAAACGTGCCGGCGATACCCCGCGCTCAGCAGGGCGCCCCGGGCGAGTGCAGCAGGTGATACCCCGCGCTGACGGCGAAACAAAGACGCGGTAAGAGCCGCGCAGCCATCGCGGGGCACTTCTCGTCGTCCTCGGATTCTCGGAATGGCACTGCCTCGCTGACGGCCAAGTTTCCCCTCCGCGAGGCTCCAGGCAAATGAGCTGGGCCCAAACTTTCTTTTCGTTCCGTAACTACTCTTGGCGCGAGTTCGGCTGCAGCGGCCGGAACTGCACTGGAACGACGACAACGGCCGTCTGGGCGGGGCGGGGCGGGGCGGGGCGGGGCGGGGTGGCTCGCGTCGTCTCCAGGCCGGGGCCTCGACATGAGCTTCTAATGAGCTAAGGGACGGCGGCCCTGCGGGGTTGTCGTCGCCGAGGTGCTGCGAGGCGGTGGCGGCCACGGCGTGGCGGCTAACGGATGGCCCAATATCGCATCACGACGCCCCTGATGACCTTGATGATGACGAGGGGCACCCCGCAGGGTGCTGCGCGACAGTGCTGCTGCAGCAAGGCGGCGCGGGGCCGCTAGCTGCTGCTCGTCGTCGAGGGCCTGTCCGGGGAGGCCCAATCCCCGACATGGAAACGACATTACGCAGGTTAGCGTCACGTGTCCGAGTCTCGGGGACTCGGAGACTCCGAGACATTTTGCAGCGCCTCGAGACGCCCCACAGTGGGCTAGAGAACCGGCGCCGGCGGCCAAAACTCTAGACGCGTTTTGAGCATCAGATTCGCCAAACAGGACTAGAACCGAGCGTGTGACCCCCACCAATGGATTCCTCGTTCGAAGAGCAATCCATTGGTGGGGTCACACGCTTGGTTCGAGTCCCACTTAGCGACTCTGGAGCTCAAAACGCACTCGGGATTCCGGCCGCTTCCACCGGTCTTCTGGCCCACTGTACAGCAGTCGCGACACTGCGAACGACGACGAACGTCCTTGCGGCGGCCGTCCGTCCGTCCGCGACGACCTTGCCAATAACAAGACAGCCGTCCGACTGGCCAAACAGCCCCGACGGCCGCCAAAGCGCCACTCCACTGTCTTTCAAAGCAATGAGTGATGAAAAGAAAGCGGGTGTAAAGAGGAGTGGCGCAGCCCCTCTGCAGCGAGGCAAAAAAAAGCAACAACAGCATAAAAACAGCGGGAAATAAACCAAATGCCGCCGGACAAAAGAAGCACGCGATGATGCCTCCCGTTCAAAAGCGACGCGGAATAAACACTGCGCGACGACGGCGCCAGATTAAACCATTCGCGCCGCTCAAAGTCGCGCCGTCTCTGTCGCACGCCCGCGGGCCGCCGCCGCCAGTGGGTGCGACAGGGACAGAGCGACGCTGTTGGGCCTGCAGCGCAGCCATGGCAGCGCGGCACCACGGCACTGAAAGGACACGCCATAAAGGGCGCGGCTGCCCGTCCGTCCGCGAATCTCCGAGCTGCTGCAGGGCCGTTTTCGTCGCCCTGTCTCTCTCGCACCCATCAGGGACGCCCATGAGTGCGAGAGAGACAGAGCGACGACTCTCGGAATCAGTCTGCCGCTGCTGCCGGGAGCAAAGGTGGCTCCTGCTCCTGCGGGATCCCACACGGCAGTGCTGCAGAGCCCGGCAGGGCCGCGGGCCGGCCGTAAGTTCCTAGCCGTGCCGTGCCGCGCCGCGCCAAAGCCAGGCAGGGTTCATCCTCGCCACGGGGGATCCGCGACACCTCTACGCTCATTACCTCTAAACCATCTTTCCCGACCTGCCCGGTACGTCCAATGTTTTCCCTCTAAAATGTGTAGGCTTTACCTCTAAAAGTAGAACGAAAGTACACGCCGCGTTTTACCTCTAAAACTGCGAAAACGTGAAGAAGCTGACCGAGGCCGTGCACCAGGAGGAGCGTCGTCGTGGACCCGGCTGCAGGGTGCCACGGCGGCATTCTCCGGTCGCGCCGCGCCAAGGTGAAGAAGCTGACCGAGGCCGTGCACCAGGAGGAGCGTCGTCGTGGACCCGGCTGCAGGGTGCCACGGCGGCATTCTCCGGTCGCGCCGCGCCAAGGTGAAGAAGCTGACCGAGGCCGTGCACCAGGAGGAGCGTCGTCGTGGACCCGGCTGCAGGGTGCCACGGCGGCCTTCTCTGGTCGCGCCGCGCCAAGGTGAAGAAGCTGACCGAGGCCGTGCACCAGGAGGAGCGTCGTCGTGGACCCGGCTGCAGGGTGCCACGGCGGCATTCTCCGGTCGCGCCGCGCCAAGGTGAAGAAGCTGACCGAGGCCGTGCACCAGGAGGAGCGTCGTCGTGGACCCGGCTGCGGGGTGCCACGGCGGCCTTCTCCGGTCGCGCCGCGCCAAGGTGAAGAAGCTGACCGAGGCCGTGCACCAGGAGGAGCGTCGTCGTGGACCCGGCTGCAGGGTGCCACGGCGGCATTCTCCGGTCGCGCCGCGCCAAGGTGAAGAAGCTGACCGAGGCCGTGCACCAGGAGGAGCGTCGTCGTGGACCCGGCTGCAGGGTGCCACGGCGGCCTTCTCTGGTCGCGCCGCGCCAAGGTGAAGAAGCTGACCGAGGCCGTGCACCAGGAGGAGCGTCGTCGTGGACCCGGCTGCAGGGTGCCACGGCGGCATTCTCCGGTCGCGCCGCGCCAAGGTGAAGAAGCTGACCGAGGCCGTGCACCAGGAGGAGCGTCGTCGTGGACCCGGCTGCAGGGTGCCACGGCGGCCTTCTCCGGTCGCGCCGCGCCAAGGTGAAGAAGCTGACCGAGGCCGTGCACCAGGAGGAGCGTCGTCGTGGACCCGGCTGCAGGGTGCCACGGCGGCATTCTCTGGTCGCGCCGCGCCAAGGTGAAGAAGCTGACCGAGGCCGTGCACCAGGAGGAGCGTCGTCGTGGACCCGGCTGCAGGGTGCCACGGCGGCATTCTCCGGTCGCGCCGCGCCAAGGTGAAGAAGCTGACCGAGGCCGTGCACCAGGAGGAGCGTCGTCGTGGACCCGGCTGCAGGGTGCCACGGCGGCCTTCTCTGGTCGCGCCGCGCCAAGGTGAAGAAGCTGACCGAGGCCGTGCACCAGGAGGAGCGTCGTCGTGGACCCGGCTGCAGGGTGCCACGGCGGCATTCTCCGGTCGCGCCGCGCCAAGGTGAAGAAGCTGACCGAGGCCGTGCACCAGGAGGAGCGTCGTCGTGGACCCGGCTGCAGGGTGCCACGGCGGCCTTCTCCGGTCGCGCCGCGCCAAGGTGAAGAAGCTGACCGAGGCCGTGCACCAGGAGGAGCGTCGTCGTGGACCCGGCTGCAGGGTGCCACGGCGGCATTCTCTGGTCGCGCCGCGCCAAGGTGAAGAAGCTGACCGAGGCCGTGCACCAGGAGGAGCGTCGTCGTGGACCCGGCTGCAGGGTGCCACGGCGGCACTCTCCGGTCGCGCCGCGCCAAGGCGCTTTGGGGTGGACGGGCCGCATGGCGGTTGGCAACTCGGCCCTCTGGAATGGGCGTCGTCGTGAACCGCCGTGGAGGCACGACGCCTTGCTCTGCCCAAACGGCCCTTACGCCGCCGTCGCGCAGGGCATTGAGACTTTGTAAACAAATTCTTTAATGATTCCTTGCGTGCCATTGGGGACAGGTAGGTATTGCCAAATTGCACGGGTATGAGTCCCAGGGCTAGGCCAGCCTTTCGACACCCGGAGGGTCTTTCTACGCTCGGGGGCTCGCCGTGCCTTGGTGAGCATATGTGTGCGTGAGCCCACCGTGCATGTGTCAAACTATATCGCATGATCTACTAGGCACGCCACCGCTCTCGATCTACCTGCGTCAAAAGTCGCTCTCGTTGGGCCAGCGCGCATTATACACCCTGACTGCACTCGTGCTGGTCCAGGGGTGGGCAGTGCCCATGTGAAAGTAGGTACGTGCTGTACATCCAGTACCGAATTACCTTGCCCACCCCTGCGCCAGGGTGCAACAGGGACATAGCAGCGGGCCCAGCAGGGAAGACTGGGGAAAGTGGGTTACTGCCTCTCTGCCGGGACGACCTGTGTCGCCTCTCTGCAGTCTGGGGTTCGAATGCCGTCCAGAGAAATTGGTTCGCTTTTCTCTCGATGCCGCTTTGCACTTTTGCGTTGGCCCCTCGCTGCTCGATCTTACACGTGACCTTCCTGCGATGTTTTCGGAACCTTATCCTGTTTCAGGGGAGCAGCGGCCCATAGCCAGGTGGCTGCCATCGGATGTGGAGTGAGGATCGACGGTAATGGGCGGACCGGAGAGGTCTGTGTCCGGAGTCCGTAGCCCAGCCCAAGACGCGGTCTTCGCCAGAACCCCTTCTGATCCGAGCCGAGACACCATCATGAGACTGCTCGAGACGAGAGGAATGCGAACAACTCATTGATATGGGCGGGGGTTCGCTAGAACGCTGCCAGGAACCCCCGCCCCCGGACGTCTGTACCCCTGCAGGTAGGCATCCCACCCCGCAGCCCATCGCGAGCGCCCAGGAGGTAGGCAACCAATCCGACCTGTCGTCTAGCAGGACATACTGACGTTTCGTCAGATGTCGGGATGCAGCTTTAAGGGGGTCGCAACCCTAAAAATAAATTAATTGATCTTTACATATTTCTGAATATGAGATGATGAAAGTAGGAAGCTAGTGCTAACTGTCGTAAATCCACCAAGCAGTCCGCTCAGGAAGCTGCAGACAAGTTTTGAAATGGAACTTCTTGCCCACCAAAAAGCAGTGGTGGCTGTATGAGCATGTGACTTTACAAAGCTTTGCATTAAATTAAGCTAAACTCTCATCAAATTTACCTCCATTTAGTTGCTAAACCTACATTGTCAAGTAGGAACATAGAAACATATCAGTAACATTTGCGCTCTCAGTGTCTGTCTGAGAGTTAAGCCTAACAAATGTTTTAATTATTTTTCTTCAGATGAAGATGCTGATCAATGCAGTCTGCATCCTCATCTTGAGATGATGCCACAACACCTATATAAGGTTTGTTTATTATTAATTATTTTCACGTGTTAAGCTACATTTTAGTATACAATTTAACTCTGCTTTGTTCCTCAGGCTCTCTCAATGGTGGATTCATCTGAAATTTAAATGATGTATTTTCACGATGGTATCAACTTCAGTTCTGCATTACCGCTCCATTGGAATAAAATAATGAATCTGATAAAATAACCCTGTCTAAATCTGAATGCCTTTTACAATGACAACTCCCAACAACTAGAGAGAAAAGTCTAAAATCTACTCCCCACTTGAACATTTACTCTCTTTCTAGTCATCCATATTGCACCACGATAGGAGAGTCTCTGTTTTATTGTTGAAAGTAAGCCACCAACTACTGTGAAGATCAGCAGACTGCAGGTTTAAATAAGTAAAGTGCTCATTGGTGAAGGCGTCAGCACAGTAATGTGACAACATGTTTTAATTAAACTAAATAGATACTCCAAGTTACAAAATAATTCACTCTGTAAGCAGGATGCCAAAAAGGTTGAAACCCTGGAAACAGAGGAAAACAATAGTTAAATGATGCAATTACAACAAGGCTATAAAATATGGTGTAATGATACTTACATCACAAAGCAAAGAACTGTGATTCAATCTGTCTGGCAAACATCTCACGAGTTCACCAATCAGTATCTTCTCATTTCTGGCATAGATCTTCCAAAGACGATCCAGAATCTATCCCATCGGATCGCTGAGCACAACTAGGGCCAAAAAAGAAAAAAAAAGGTATTAAGAACAATAAAAGAAAATTTAAGTATTATTAGTATCTCTTTCACATAGGTAACAACTTACGTCAAAAGAAAGTGTAAATGAAAAGCTGTGCGTCAAACATTCCATCGAAGTAGAACGATGTGATGACGATGACAGTCCCAGCAGCAGCAGATGTTGAACACAATCTCGACATGCAACAAGAAAGGAAAAGGAGCCAGCAGTCTGCGTGCACAGTAGGAAATGTCAGGTGAAATCAGGGAAACAGGAACCTGTCCGATACCGGGCAGTTAGCCCAAAAGCTGAACTTATACACAAAGCGCTAACCACAAAATAAATTTAAAAAATTAAAAAAAGAAGTCTGAGGTGGCCAAATGATAGCTCACACCTAAGGCAGGCCTGGCCATTTTAGCTCTCAGGCTTATAAACACTAGTGCACAGTTACTATAAATAGACATTCTTTAAATCGTACAAACCTCGAGGTGGCCAAATGTTAGCTCACACCTAAGGCAGGCCTGGCCATTTTAGCTCTCAGACCTATTAACACAAGTGCAGGCAGCTGGCCTCCATAAGCTCACAGCTATTAAAAACAACTCACCCTACCTTGAAGAGGCCAACGCTCAGATGAAGCCTGGCCGCCAATCAGCTCACAGGCATCACTCAACGATAAACATTCCACAAAAGCAGTGGGCCTCCACAAGCTTTCAGGTGCCAACACCAATCTCAACGACCTGAGGAGGCAAAAGATGGCAACAAGCCTGGCCGCCAATCAGCTCACAGGCGTGACTTTATGATAAACATTCGACAAAGTCAGCTGGCCTACAGAAGCTCACAGCTGCTAATGACCATCGCAACACCCTGCTCATCAGCTCGGGGACAGAAAATGAAAACAATTAACAAGGTGTGATACACCTGTGTAATGGATTAAAACTCACCAGGAGCAGTAAGTGGCTGACAGGGCATTGATACAAGGAAAAGGGAGGAGGGTGCACCTTGGACACAGCAACTATATAACAGAGACAGACAACATCAATAATTTTAACTGTGTTTTAAAGACAACAAAAACAAAGAAATTCAAGAACTAACCTCAAACGCCAAACTTGCCTAGGGTGATGAAAGATAGCAGCTCTGCTCGTACTCTCAGAGGTTCGATATCACTGTGGTGGTGATGAAAGATAGCAGCTCTACTCGTACTCTCAGAGGTTAGATATCACTGTGGTGGGCAAGAACGGACAATGAGGTTAGAACAACTTTAAGTGATTGGGCTTTAGTGATGATGAGAGCAGGCTGACTGCATACAAGAATAATTCGTTTTCAAAATCACTGAATCACGAACACATTCTTGATATAATTATCATCGAGAAGTAACTCTAACCCAAGTTTAACGCAAGGCGTCCGGTTTTAGGCCTAAAAGCTACCGCCGCGAGGAACCCGTCATAAGTATCAAGTCGAAACTCGCAAACAAATTTGACAAAAACAATTTCATGATAAGCCGAGTAATTATCAGTTACTGGAGACGGAGTCCACAATTACCTCAGAATTCGAGTAACAAGTACTACCTGCAGACGGCAGTATTGCGCGCCAAAGTACGTAGATCCAATCCAAACAAAAGATTTGGTTGAACTCTAGTCGTTGTTGCGGGCGCTGCCGCTAGGGGCGCTGCTGGTGGCGCGGCGCGCTCGTTTCGACTGCGAATCTGCGAATAACGTGCAACAGCTGGCAAGCTGAACGTACGCAATTTTAATTTTGTTTTTATTGAATTATTGAAAGATGGCTATTTGATCAAGAGTCCTAAATTGGACATATTTTTTTTGTCTCTTTTTCAGGCTGCAGGCTGCGGCTCGCATGAAAGATGACCTTGATTTCTTTGCTGTCACTTTCATGAGACTATGCAGCCGATAAGTATAACCTCACCAATAAATGTCTGTAATTCTGGAAAAGTTATGTACAAACTGCAGTTACTCATCAGATAGGATAAAAACACAACACATTTACAGAGGAACAAAACATACCTTCAGTGGCACCTTTCAGATTGACAGGTGCGTTTCGTTTCACAAATTTCACCAGATCTGCAGCTTCGAAAACCTCGTCCCACCACTGGGCTGCTTTTGAGGGTCAATTGCAAACACAAGAAAACCACAATCAGTCAAGATTCTCACCTTCCCTACACTACATACGACCCGCACTGAATCGTGTTAGGAAGAAAAGTGAACTCACAGTCACATTGATTGACACCAGTAGATCTTTGCACTTTCATAAACGAATTCGGCGCGCGGCATTTCGGTGTTGCACTATGCGGCGAGCAGGTGTTCATATTCCAGACGGTAAACTTCAACGATCAGCTAATCGTTTCCTGAAATAGCAGATGATTTAATTTTGAATTACAGACATTTATTGGTGAGGTTATACTTATCGGCTGCATAGTCTCATGAAAGTGACAGCAAAGAAATCAAGGTCATCTTTCATGCGAGCCGCAGCCTGCAGCCTGAAAAAGAGACAAAAAAAATATGTCCAATTTAGGACTCTTGATCAAATAGCCATCTTTCAATAATTCAATAAAAACAAAATTAAAATTGCGTACGTTCAGCTTGCCAGCTGTTGCACGTTATTCGCAGATTCGCAGTCGAAACGAGCGCGCCGCGCCACCAGCAGCGCCCCTAGCGGCAGCGCCCGCAACAACGACTAGAGTTCAACCAAATCTTTTGTTTGGATTGGATCTACGTACTTTGGCGCGCAATACTGCCGTCTGCAGGTAGTACTTGTTACTCGAATTCTGAGGTAATTGTGGACTCCGTCTCCAGTAACTGATAATTACTCGGCTTATCATGAAATTGTTTTTGTCAAATTTGTTTGCGAGTTTCGACTTGATACTTATGACGGGTTCCTCGCGGCGGTAGCTTTTAGGCCTAAAACCGGACGCCTTGCGTTAAACTTGGGTTAGAGTTACTTCTCGATGATAATTATATCAAGAATGTGTTCGTGATTCAGTGATTTTGAAAACGAATTATTCTTGTATGCAGTCAGCCTGCTCTCATCATCACTAAAGCCCAATCACTTAAAGTTGTTCTAACCTCATTGTCCGTTCTTGCCCACCACAGTGATATCTAACCTCTGAGAGTACGAGTAGAGCTGCTATCTTTCATCACCACCACAGTGATATCGAACCTCTGAGAGTACGAGCAGAGCTGCTATCTTTCATCACCCTAGGCAAGTTTGGCGTTTGAGGTTAGTTCTTGAATTTCTTTGTTTTTGTTGTCTTTAAAACACAGTTAAAATTATTGATGTTGTCTGTCTCTGTTATATAGTTGCTGTGTCCAAGGTGCACCCTCCTCCCTTTTCCTTGTATCAATGCCCTGTCAGCCACTTACTGCTCCTGGTGAGTTTTAATCCATTACACAGGTGTATCACACCTTGTTAATTGTTTTCATTTTCTGTCCCCGAGCTGATGAGCAGGGTGTTGCGATGGTCATTAGCAGCTGTGAGCTTCTGTAGGCCAGCTGACTTTGTCGAATGTTTATCATAAAGTCACGCCTGTGAGCTGATTGGCGGCCAGGCTTGTTGCCATCTTTTGCCTCCTCAGGTCGTTGAGATTGGTGTTGGCACCTGAAAGCTTGTGGAGGCCCACTGCTTTTGTGGAATGTTTATCGTTGAGTGATGCCTGTGAGCTGATTGGCGGCCAGGCTTCATCTGAGCGTTGGCCTCTTCAAGGTAGGGGGAGTTGTTTTTTAAAAGCTGTGAGCTTATGGAGGCCAGCTGCCTGCACTTGTGTTAATAGGTCTGAGAGCTAAAATGGCCAGGCCCGCCTTAGGTGTGAGCTAACATTTGGCCACCTCGAGGTTTGTACGATTTAAAGAATGTCTATTTATAGTAACTGTGCACTAGTGTTTATAAGCCTGAGAGCTAAAATGGCCAGGCCTGCCTTAGGTGTGAGCTAACATTTGGCCACCTCGAGGTTTTTACGATTTAAAGAATGTCTATTTATAGTAACTGTGCACTAGTGTTTATAAGCCTGAGAGCTAAAATGGCCAGGCCTGCCTTAGGTGTGAGCTAACATTTGGCCACCTCAGGTTTTCTTTAAAAATTTTTTTAAATTATTTTGTTTTAAACCTTTGGTAAAAGGCCCGGCCCCCTTTTGGGCTAACTTTTCCCCCGGGGTTTGGACGGTTTGTTTCCCCATTTTTAAATTTACATTTTTAACTGGAGCAAAATGGCCGGCCCCCTTTTCCTCTTTTGGCCCCCTTTGAGGTTTTTGTTTAAAAATTTTTTTTGCTGGGACTTTTTTATCCGGAATAAAAACGGCCCCCTTGGTGGAATTTTGGACCCAGCTTTTTTTAATTTTTTTTTATTTGTTGGGTTTCCTTTGTGAAAAGTTACTTTCTTTAAATCCCTTTTTTGGCAATTCCTTTTTTTTTCTTTTTTGGCCCAGTTTTGGGTCCTTTTCCTTTTGGGGGATTCGGATTGTTTTAAATCTTGCCGGGGGTGAAAGATACTGTTTAAATTTGTGGGGAAAGTTTGCCGACAGTTTTAATACATTTTTTTTGCTTTGTAAAGTAAAAAATTTCAATAAAATTTTTTAAATTTTTTTAAATTGTTTTTAATATTTTTTCCCCTTTTTTCCCAGGGTTTCAACCTTTTTGGATCCTTTGGGCTTCCCGAAAAAGGAAATTATTTTGTAATTTTTGGAAAATTAAACCAATTTTTGTTTTAAATTAAACATTTTCACCAATTTTTCCTTTTTGTAAGCCTTTAAAAATTTTTTCCTTTTTATTTAACCTGGGATCCCGCTTGATTTAAGTAATTGGGGTTTATTTAAAATTTAAAAAAGGACTTCCCTTCTGGTTCAAATGGATTTTTTTAAAAGAGGTAAAATTTTAAGTGGGGGTTTTTTTAAAAAACTTTTCTTCTAGGTTTTTGGGAGTTGTTTAATTGGGGGAAAGGCCCAAATTTTTTCAGATTTAGACAGGGTTATTTTATCAGATTCATTATTTTATTCCAATGGAGCGGTAATGCAGAACTGAAGTTGATACCATCGTGAAAATACATCATTTAAATTTCAGATGAATCCACCATTGAGAGAGCCTGAGGAACAAAGCAGAGTTAAATTGTATACTAAAATGTAGCTTAACACGGGAAAAAAATTAATAATAAACAAACCTTATATAGGTGTTGTGGCATCATCTCAAGATGAGGATGCAGACTGCATTGATCAGCATCTTCATCTGAAGAAAAAAATTAAAACATTTGTTAGGCTTAACTCTCAGACAGACACTGAGAGCGCAAATGTTACTGATATGTTTCTATGTTCCTACTTGACAATGTAGGTTTAGCAACTAAATGGAGGTAAATTTGATGAGAGTTTAGCTTAATTTAATGCAAAGCTTTGTAAAGTCACATGCTCATACAGCCACCACTGCTTTTTGGTGGGCAAGAAGTTCCATTTCAAAACTTGTCTGCAGCTTCCTGAGCGGACTGCTTGGTGGATTTACGACAGTTAGCACTAGCTTCCTACTTTCATCATCTCATATTCAGAAAAATGTAAAGATCAATTAATTTATTTTTAGGGTTGCGACCCCCTTAAAGCTGCATCCCGACATCTGACGAAACGTCAGTATGTCCTGCTAGACGACAGGTCGGATTGGTTGCCTACCTCCTGGGCGCTCGCGATGGGCTGCGGGGTGGGATGCCTACCTGCAGGGGTACAGACGTCCGGGGGGGGGGGTTCCTGGCAGCGTTCTAGCGAACCCCCGCCCATATCAATGAGTTGTTCGCATTCCTCTCGTCTCGAGCAGTCTCATGATGGTGTCTCGGCTCGGATCAGAAGGGGTTCTGGCGAAGACCGCGTCTTGGGCTGGGCTACGGACTCCGGACACAGACCTCTCCGGTCCGCCCATTACCGTCGATTTCCCCCACTCCACATCCGATGGCAGCCACCTGGCTATGGGCCGCTGCTCCCCTGAAACAGGATAAGGTTCCGAAAACATCGCAGGAAGGTCACGTGTAAGATCGAGCAGCGAGGGGCCAACGCAAAAGTGCAAAGCGGCATCGAGAGAAAAGCGAACCAATTTCTCTGGACGGCATTCGAACCCCAGACTGCAGAGAGGCGACACAGGTCGTCCCGGCAGAGAGGCAGTAACCCACTTTCCCCAGTCTTCCCTGCTGGGCCCGCTGCTATGTCCCTGTTGCACCCTGGCGCAGGGGGGGGCAAGGTAATTCGGTACTGGATGTACAGCACGTACCTACTTTCACATGGGCACTGCCCCCCCCTGGACCAGCACGAGTGCAGTCAGGGTGTATAATGCGCGCTGGCCCAACGAGAGCGACTTTTGACGCAGGTAGATCGAGAGCGGTGGCGTGCCTAGTAATCATGGGGATATAGTTTGACACATGCACGGTGGGCTCACGTACACATATGCTCACCAAGGCACGGCGAGCCCCCGGGGTAGAAAGACCCTCCGGGTGTCGAAAGGGTGGCCTAGCCCTGGGACTCATACCCGTGCAATTTGGCAATACCTACCTGTCCCCAATGGCACGCAAGGAATCATTAAAGAATTTGTTTACAAAGTCTCAATGCCCTGCGCGACGGCGGCGTAAGGGCCGTTTGGGCAGAGCAAGGCGTCGTGCCTCCACGGCGGTTCACGACGACGCCCATTCCAGAGGGCCGAGTTGCCAACCGCCATGCGGCCCGTCCCCCCCAAAGCGCCTTGGCGCGGCGCGACCGGAGAATGCCGCCGTGGCACCCCCGCAGCCGGGTCCACGACGACGCTCCTCCTGGTGCACGGCCTCGGTCAGCTTCTTCACCTTGGCGCGGCGCGACCAGAGAATGCCGCCGTGGCACCCTGCAGCCG